TAACAGGTGTTTATTTTTGTCAAAATTAGGTTGACGGTTGGAAAGATGATCTTTAAGGTCCCTTCCAAGCTAGAAGATTTTGTGATTCTGTGATTTCCCTCCCCAAAGTGGTCCCAGGTTTCACCCTCCCTTGGCACAGCGTGCAGCTTTTGTAATGCCCGACGCCAGCTGGGGCACCGGCCCCGTTCTGACTCATGAGCGGGGAGTACCCTGGTCTGGAATCACCGAAGGCAACAACAACTCCCAAAATACTTCCCCAAGCCAAGGGGTAAAAGCCGGTGCCAGCCGTGAGCTCAGCAGCACCGCTCCCCGCCACCGCTACCTTGCCAACCTTCTGCAGCTTTTTTAGCTCGGTAGGTGCGCCGGCTCACCCCGCTCTCCAAAGGTTTAGCAATCGAGAACAGCAATAGCTTGGGGCAGCCAAACACCCAAACAGGCAAAGGCGAGAGGTGGGAGAGAGGAATACTGCATTACAGAGCTCATTAGCCCTCACGGGCAATGTGAAGTGCTCAAAACCATGTTGTTTTTCACAGAATCACAGAATCTTCTAGATTGGAAGGGACCTTAAAGATCATCTCGTCCAACCGTCAACCTAACTGACAAAAATAGACACCCACACAACAAACAAAAAGCAACACCATCACTAAACCATACCTCCCAGCACTACATCAACCTGTCTTTTGAACACCTCCAGGGATGGTGCCTCAACCACCTCCCTGGGCAGCCCATTCCAATGGCTGATAACCCTTTTGGTGAAAAAATTTTTCATAATATCCAGCCTGAACCTCCCCTGGCGCAACTTGAGGCCCTTTCTTCTCGTCCTGTTGCCTTTGACTTGGGAGAAGAGACCGACCCCCACCTCTCTACACCCTCCTTTCAGGGAGTTGTAGAGAGCAATAAGGTCTCCCCTCAGCCTCCTCCTCTCCAGGCTGAATAACCCCAGCTCCCTCAGCCTCTCCTCATAAGACTTGTGCTCCAGACCCCTCATCATCTTTGTTGCCCTTCTCTGGACCCGCTCCAGCACCTCAATGTCTTTTTTATGGTAGGGAGCCCAAAATTGGACACAGTACTCGAGGTGAGGCCTCACCAGTGCCGAGTACAGGGGGACAATCACCTCTCGGGCCCTACTCGCCACGCTGTTCCTGATACAGACCAGGATGCTGTTGGCCTTCTTGGCCACCTGGGCACACTGCTGGCTCATGCTGAGCCGACAGTTGACCAACACCCCCAGGTCCTTTTCTGCCCGGCAGCTCTCCGGCCACTCTGCCCCCAGAGAGTGAGAGAAAGGGAGAGTGCAGCCATCCCACAGAAGGAAATCCAGAGGAAATCCTGCTGGCATGAAGTACAGCTGGGAGGCAGCCCGCAGGGTGATGGAGACAGCCCCACACAGATGATGGAGAGATGATAAGGAGTGAGGGGCGCCTTCCTGGACCAGGTAGGCATCAGCCTGCACCCTCCAGGCATGGCCCTCTGGAGGGTCAGCATAAACCCTCACGGCAGCCTGCCACACTCAGCACTGCCTGCTCTTTCCCGGGCTCAGGTATGGGAGAGAACAACAATCTCATACACCAGTGGGCATCGAACATGCTGCCAAGTCCCAGCACAAAGCCCTCCAGCTTTACATGCAGCCCTCTCCAGCTCCAGAGAGAACCCACCAACCTGGAGGAGCTACTAAAGCCAAGGAAAAAAAGAAATAAAATATCAGTCTCCAACCCTGGACTTGATGACACACCCATGAGAGACTCCTGCCCTCCTAACACCATGTCCTGCACGCTTGCCTCAGAAACCTTCCATTCCTGGACCCTTCCACCAGAAGAGATGGAGCAGCAGCAGGGCAGCTAATTTGCCTGGAAAAAACCAAAAAGATAAACACACTCCAGCTGCAAAGAAAGGAACCTCCTGGCAATTTTGCTGGGGAACTCTGCCATGAGCAGAGGATGGTTTTTGGAGTTACTTCTCCTCTGCCTTAGCATGCCCTACAGATAAGTGTGAGAAAATCTCCTGGCTTGGGAAGCAGGTTGCCAGCGAGAGGGGTTTGAAATGGAGAAGGGAGGAAAAGACCTCATCTGCATTCTCCTCTTGTTGAAGGTAAAGGGGAAGAGCTTTAACAAAAGCAGATTTTAAGCAAGCTCCCCCAAAGCAGCAACACAAGAAAGACCGGACTGCCCGCATGGGGCAAAAAAAGTAGTGCAAAAGGGTAGTGTGAAAGGTTAGAGCTGGTTTATGGTGGGTTTCACTGAGTCAACACGGCTGAAAACACTGGGAAAAAGTAGAGGGCAAAGCTTGATTCAGAATCTCACACCTGAAGACACTCAGATACTGTCTGAGCTTACACCTGGGTGTGAACTTCAAAGCCTGGGCTCCTTTCTGTGTAACACAGTGGACTGAATCAAACCTGACCCAAACACCTGCAACATCCAGAAATACGTTGATTCAGAGATGCATTTTACAGCTTTTGTCAGAAGTTACTCCCTAGGTTTCTTCCTCCTCCTTTCATTTATTTGTAAGTCCATTTTTTTTTTAAAGTACTTATTTATTTATAAGCACTTACTATTTCTCTTCTAAAAAGTATTTATAAGTACTTTGTTTTTTGGAAGCACTTCTCATCCATCCATCCATCCCTGGTCTGAGGCAGAAGCTTTTAAGTATTTCCTCAAACAGATAGCTTCTCCATGCTGACACTGCCATCCCGGCCAGAGTTTTCTCATTCCCTCTTTACGTTTCTGTTCTTTTTGGAGAGAAGGATGTTCAGTTTGGAATAAAAGGACTGAAAAACATACATTAATCTTTATTAGACCGGTAGAGCCAACTGACGGGGCTAGGACTGGCTGCTTCCTCCCTTCTCCCTCCCTGCCCTTCCGCAGTTTTCTCTCCCCTCCTCTTCCCTGACACTTGTTTGTGTTTGGAAGCCGCACGCTCGTTCCCAACAGACCGGGACAGGGGATGAGAGGGGAAATGTCTGGACGCATTTAGTCCAATTAAATGTTGGCATCACATTCAGTCTTTCCAAAAAAGCACGTAGGAAACTTTAAACGCCGGGGCTGGCCGCCGCTGAACCCATGCCTCCCCATTTACATCTCCTTGCACCCAGCCGCAGAGTAGGTATTAATTGTCATCAAAAGCCTGCCCGCTGCAAACCCCTCTTTAATATCATTCACAAGGGCTCTGCTTAAAACTCTTCCTCTTTCAGCAGATTGTGGCCGTAATCCCCGTGTCACTGATGAGTTTTGGCAGAGTCAGCCGCGTCGGCTGCCGACAGCTCCCCTCCGCTTTCATTCCCCAGCCGCACACCAGCTCTGTCACAGCATCCCCCACTTTGCCCCTTCGAACGGTGTGGGTTTTAATGGTAAACAAACCAAAAAAAAAAAAAAAAAGCCCACAAGCCCCGCACATGCGGCCTATACATCATCCCGGGCCATCCGGTCGGCCGACGAGCTGCTGCTCCTACAGGAAGACCTGTGGGATGAACCCAAGCAGCATCAGAGCATCCCTCCCGCCCGCAGGACCCTGCCCTGGTACCCGTGGGTCCCCCCACCTCAGGGCTGTGATAACACCCAGGCTCTGCTGCACAGGGAGGGGGTCACAAGCCCAGGAGAAGGCACCCAAAGCTTAACTGCTGGCTGAGAAAGAAGAGGCTGAGGAGGGACAGGCAAGAGTTGGCTCTCTCCCGCTACTTTTTCCTTTTTTGTTGTTGTTTTTTTTTTGTTTTAAACAACAACAAAAAAAATCTTGTTCTTCCCACTCCTGAGAAAAAGCCCTTTAAACATGAATGAGGCTAGTCATATAAATGAATTAAGGGTCAGTTTACAGCGTTATTAAATTAAATGCTTTATATACAGTAACTGAAGAGTTTGGTAGAATTCATGAAACTAGATTCAGACCTCAGATGCTTTCCAGAGCGGCTGGAAGGGTTTAAGGAACTTAAACAGAAGAAACTCAACAAGTCTCGCTTTGCTCAGCGTTCACTCCAGCATCCAAACCAGCGACATACTTCCCCATTACTGCTGCAGCTCTGCCCTCCGACATGTGTTTACAGCTCTGATTAATCCAACCACAAGTCAAGGACTAAGTGTACCGAGGCACGTCCCCAGCTGATTCCAGTATAAACTGCATGTCTGGAATCTGACTGCACGGAGAGGGCCACGGTCACCGCTCGCCAGCTGAACGCTCGCTAAGTCGCACACGGGCAGAATCACAGAATGATATGGGGTTGGAAGGAACCTCTGGAGATCATCTCGTCCAACCTCCCTGCCAAAGCAGGTCCACCCAGAGTAGGCTGCACAGGAACATGCCCAGGCGGGTTTTGAATGTCTCCAGAGAAGGAGACTCTACCACCTCTTCCAGGGCTCTGCCACCCTCAAAGTGAAGAAGTTCCTCCTCATGTTTAGATGGAACTTCTTATATTCAAGTTTGTGCCCGTTACCTCTTGTCCTGTCACTGGGCACCACTGAAAAAAGACTGGCCCCATCCTCCTGACTCCCACCCTTTAAGTATTTATGGGTGTTGATCAGATCTCCTCCTCAGTCTTCTCCAGACTAAAAAGACCCAAGTCCCTCAGCCTTTCCTTGTAAGAGAGATGCTCCAGGCCCCTCATCATCTTTGTAGCCCTCTGCTGTACCCTCTCCAGCAGTTCCCTGTCCTTCTTGAACCAGGGAGCCCAGAACTGGACACAGTGCTCCAGATGGGACCTCACCAGGGCAGAGTAGAGGGGGAGGATGACCTCCCTCCACCTCCTGGTCACACTCTTCCTCATGCACCCTGGAATGCCATTGGCCTTCTTGGCACAGAGCACCAGCAATCTGCTGCTCAGAGCAAGTGGATGCTCTTGCCTTGTTTTTAATACAGGCTTGGTCCATCCAGTTTAAAACACGCTCTAAGGCGCGCTCACACACAGTACCATTGGAGGACAAGAAAAATCTCTTGTCACTTTTCAGTTTTGGGGGCTCACCACGGAGCGCCGAGACTAAACAACCCATGCCGCCCGTCACACGTTGAGGTACCTGCACGATAGGGTGGCCCCCTGCAGATGCCTTCACAGCCCCTCGACTGCCTTCTGTCTCGTAATGAGCTCGGTGGTGGGATTTCGGCTGCACCTCGATACGCAGTTCGTAAGGTCCTGAGTGAGATGGCAGCTGCCAGTCCAGGGCGGGCAGGGATGGGCTATAATGGAAAGGAAAACGTATTAAAAATTAACATTGAGTACACTATTGCAAGCCACAAGCATCCAGCACTATTACTTTAGAGACCGTGTTTCGCAGTTCATCCTTCACCATCTTTACATTTAAAATTTCATCAATATGGATAATGCCACGACATTAAGTAATTTAGAAGGTAATGGTTATTTTATGAAGATTTATGGGTCGAGCATGTCTGGTGGCCCAGATGCTATCCGATTTGTAAACAAAATGGAAAAACGTTGAGAGACAGCTTACAAATATCTGAATATATTGATTCTCGAACCAAAAAAACCGAGAAAGCCAGTCAGAAAGAGGCAGAGGAATTTAAGGAAGAGGATTTCTGCTGTGAAAGCGAATGCCAAACCAGCTCTGGAGGAGTTCTGCGTTTAATGAATCTAATGGATTTCAACAAATCTCCTCAGTTTGCAGGGGGTGGAAAGACGGAAAAAAAAAAAAGAGTAATTTCCCAGATTCCTTCCCAACACAAAACATGTCAGAGAGTCTCAAAGCCACTTTCTTTCTGGTTTGTGCACTGCCAGGGAGCAAGCTCTGAAGTCAGAACTTGCTCACAAACCCAACTAACGATGACGCATAAGCCAGAAGAAAATCCAGCTCGCTCTTCCGGCCCTGTATTGACTCTGCAATTAACTAAAATATTAAGGACTCATTACTGACACACAAGCAAGCAGGCCCGACGACATGCGACGGTGGGGAAGCGTCACTCTCAGAAACCCACTTCCAGTGTGTAAAAACCACACTTGAAAATAGTCGGGAGGGGTCGGCTGTGAGAAATGCCAAGTTGATGCTTTGGGGTTGGAAAAAAAAAAAAAAAAAAAAGAGAAAGAGAAACAAACAAGCTCTGGCTAGGCCTGAGAAGAAGTTATTGATCTTCAAATTGAAGCAAAAAGCTTCATGATGAAAACCACTAACTTGACACCTAGCGTATATTCTATATTCGGTGAATTCTCCTCACCAGGTGTCCTTCAAAAGGCTTTACAGGTAACTAAATGGCACAACCACAACATACCACCCTGTCCTCTTACATCCAACTTTATTATTTCTCCCACCAGCCAGGGGAAGACCACCAGCAAGTGGAAAAAACCACAGTCCTTGACCCTTTGTTGTGGCCATGGTGCGGGGCTACCTGCCAGGGCGAGGGGGCTTGTCCCACCACAGGGTGAGGAGGAGGAAGCTGAATGGCTAATTAGCTCTCGCCCCGTTTAGGCGGAGGCTGGCCACTGGGGATTTACTGGTCCCCCTCCTCGCTGCTACAGCCCCGGTGCAAGGACAGTCTGAGCAGTGTGAATCACAGCCGGAATGGGCTGGCTGGGAGGGACAGGAGGCAAAAACTGGGAGAAAAAGGAGGCAAAACAGCTTCCGTACTGGATGCACGTATTACAAGCACATGGTTCAACTGGAGACCCAATGCTCTATTCTACCATCCCTGTGATCGCTTTCGGCTCCTCTGGCATTACATCCTTCACACCCCACAAAGCATCCCTGCTGTCTCCCACTGCAGAGACTATAACCACTCACACTGTGGTGTGTTTTTTTTTTTCCTTTAGCCTTCTTTTCTTTCTTTTTTGAGTGCTTATCCAGGTATTTATCACCAGCATATTGAACTCCTATCTGCTGGTAGACACGTGCATATACACCGATGGGACTTCAGGTGGTGCTAAGTTTCTCCACATTATCTTTCTTCGCTGTTTATACATCCACCACTTTAAACCGTGTGATTTGAAGCAGGTGGTGCTAAGTTTCTCCACATTATCTTTCTTCGCTGTTTATACATTCACCACTTTAAACTGTGTGATTTGAAGGCCTACAGAAGCCCATCACATGCATCACAGGGCTCAGCTGGAGCCACCAAGTCCCAGCCCTGGCTGAGGAGCAGGAGCAGGAACCTACAGAAGCCCACTACATGCATCACAGGGTTCAGCTGGAGCCACCAAGTCCCAGCCCTGGGCGAGGAGCAGGAGCAGGAGCCTACAGAAGCCCACTACATGCATCCCAGGGCTCAGCTGGAGCCACCAAGTCCCAGCCCTGGGTGAGGAGCATGAGCCTACAGAAGCCCACTACATGCATCACGGGGCTCAGCTGGAGCCACCAAGTCCCAGCTCTGGCTGAGGAGCAGGAGCCTACAGAAGCCCACTACATGCATCCCAGGGCTCAGCTGGAGCCACCAAGTCCCAGCCCTGGGTGAGGAGCATGAGCCTACAGAAGCCCACTACATGCATCACGGGGCTCAGCTGGAGCCACCAAGTCCCAGCTCTGGCTGAGGAGCAGGAGCCTACAGAAGCCCACTACATGCATCACGGGGCTCAGCTGGAGCCACCAAGTCCCAGCCCTGGCTGAGGAGCAGGACCACCCTCGCTCCCTTGGGCACCCCCTGCTCCCCACAGCACCGCTCGCCAGCAAATCACAGGCACCAAACTTCCAGCCACCCTCCTCTCTGGCCCTCAGGATGTGGACCATCCCCAAAAATAACAGAGGGGTAGAGAAGAAAGTAGCCATACAGCTCCCGGCGCGGCCCAAATGGGAGCTCATCCAAAAGAGAGGAGATGCCTCTCTGAGGGCTCCCAGCTCCCACGAACATCTGGATCCAGCAGGAGCCAGAGGGGCACTCTCTGCAGAGGCAAGATCCTGCCAGAGACAAATCCTGAATTTGGCTACTGTCTCCCCCCGACAAGCACGGGAGCCTCAGCCTTGGCTGGAGGCCTGACGCCACATCTTCTGAGCTCCTGTGCAAGACTTTCTCCCCAAAATGGCCAGGGCCCACCTTGGAGGGCAAAGAACTCCTCTTCTGCTACCAGACACCCATCATATAAAGAGCTGGCAAAAAATTACAAGCAACTGGCTATTATATAGAGTCACTATTCTTTGCCTAGCACGTTAGCTACACGTACTTTGACTCTGTAAAAGTCCCCCCCCCCCCAAAAAAAAAAATTCTGGATAAACCATATTTGACTAATGATAAATGACAAAGAGCAGAGCAAAACAGCTGTCTCTCTCCTGGTGATGATCAGCACACATTTTTAAACAGATGTTTCTGGTTTTAAGTAAGTTCTCACTTGATGGATTTTTTTTTTTTTTTTTTTTTGAGGACACAACATCTACCAGATTAAAAACTTTAAACAATTAAAAAGGACAGTTCTGACTGGCAGCATGTAGCCCTCAAGTGAAGAGGGTTGTTTTCTTTTTTTTTAGGATACATGGAAATAAGCAATAGTTCCATAACTAATTACATCTATTTAAAAAAAAACAAACAACCCACAAAACCCCCTTTCAAATCACTGTCAGTACAATTAAGTTGTAAAATTAATGTTCTCAAATAAAGCCCGAAAATAAAAACACAGTTTGCTGTTAGCCTGCAATCTATCACTGAAATTCCAAAATACCACCTGCCCAATTATAAATTGACAATTAATGGCAGTTTTCCTGATAAAGGAAGCAGAGTGATGCATTTAACAGTGTCACGGGCTGGGGCTGTCAGAGCTATTTCCTATGTTGGGTTATCTTCATCATGCACTTAATTTCCTGCAGCTAAGCGTGGTTAAAGGGAAAAAAGTCACCAAGCAAATGGTGTGGTGGTAAAATCAAATCTGGTTGCTGCAAATAAGCCTTATCAATTTTAAAAGGCCCGAACTACCTCATCGAGCCGGCATCACGTGGAGAGAAGAGCCTCTCCACAGGGGTCAAGAAGAGAAAATAAAAGGTCTTCACGCAGCCTTCCTATCAAATATACATCACCCTATTTCCCTCAGATCGAATTTTCCACCGATTGAAAGCCTGTCCCAGTCCTTTCTCCACCCTAATAAATCTAAGGGCAGTCCTCCGAAATGCTCTAACGAGGGGTGGCTGTTTCAAAGAGGGTTCACAAAAAAAAAAAACCCTGGTGTTAGGCTGGAGAAAAACGCGCTCAATGTAACTCCGTCCCTACATAAATCAGATTACAAACCAGATGAATAGTGATTTATTTTGCATACACCAGATACACAATATGATTAAATCAAAAACAGATTATCCAGTCTGGCTGACTTCTGCCTTTAGCAGAAAGATTTATCAAGCTACAAATAAAAAAAAAAAAAAGAAAAAAAGAAAGAAAGATACTAAGCAGTACACTGGACTATAGACGGGGAGGAAACGAAGCCAAAAACTTCCACTAAACTTCACGAAGGTGTTTAAGCCCCATTTTCACATGAAAACGCTATGGGTTTGGGAATTGAATTAAATCACTGTTACACTTTCCAAGCTACTAGATGCCCAAGACCACTTGGGGAAAAAAAAGAGGAAAAAAAAAAAGAGATTTGCAGACAGTTTTGTCCCTTCCCTAGGCTGCTGTGCAGGAGGTGTCAGAACAACTGCTGGCCTCGCAGAGGGACTAAGAGCTCTTTTCCTTGGCCAAGCACCCCGGCACGGAGTCACCAGCCCCGGAGAGCTGCCTGGCTCTAACAGGGAAGCATAAAAAAAATATAAATCAAAAAAACCCACAAACTGGCGAAACCACAGGGCTGCCGAATCTTGCACCAAGGCTGCCAGCTTGCCCCTGCTCCAACTGTGCACCAAATGCAAATCTGGGTACAATTCATTATTTATCGCCTGCACCTCACATCCAAGCAGATGCCTCTTAAAAGATCCTTGAGTGCCTCTTGGAAGTGCAAGAAAACAACGACGATGCCTACACCTCCGCCAACTTGACTTGTGGCTGAAAAAAATATACCTGCTTTATATTTCGCCTATGAGTTAAGTGACATGGGTAGATTTTTCTCTCCTTTTTTTTTTTTTTTTTTAATTTCCTGTCTGACAACTGAGCAATCTGGCAGCGAGCTGTTAACATAGATGCTGCGTCCCACCCCAGACTTGGCTGCATTTTGCTGGCAAGCCCGGCAAGGAGCTCCTCCATGGAGTGGAGTGCATGCCGGGGGGGAGCTGGAACTCCTCAGGGATGAAGTCTGAAAACTCCAGTCATCATCATCATCCTCC